TGCAGGCAGGGCCTGTCTTGTCTTTGAAAGAGACGAGTTAAGCTCTGAGGCTGCTGTCACACCAGCGGCTGGCAGACGGGCGGATGGATCCCACAGTGTGTGATCAATGTTTTCCACAGAAGAAGAAAAAATCCCCACAAAATATACATATATTCATCTATTTTCCTCTTGCTGTTGACAGGTTAACCAACACAAGTAAACACCATCTAATGCTATGCTCCCTCCTCTGAGCCCCATTAACTCATTGGCTGCCAAAGACGTCTATAGATGTCTTTTATAGATGTCTTGTTTTTCAACGAGAGTGTTTGGGGGACGATCTGCTAAAGCTTGTCCGTAAATATCAGGCTTCTAGACAGAGTATGTAGTAACAAATTGACCCTCTAGGGGGCAGTGCCACTTTTGATGGGAGATGAGCATAGACTGTAGGCAAATAAAAAAAAGGTAACGGTTCGCTATGAGCGAACATGTCTCCGGTGAGACGCAAGTCGAGGAAGAACGGAATAAGGTAGAAACAAAAAAAAATTCCTGATGAAAGAAGAGAGTCTTCTCTTTCTTTTGGTGTGTTCGGTGTTTACATAGTCATAGCACAAACTATTCTGTGGCTCTTGAAAAATCAGTCAAAATGCTCAAAAAAAATCTGGCACTCAATGAGTTAAGGATTCATAACAGCATCCTGATGTCCTCCTCACCTCAGAGTGGAACCCAGCAGAAACCAGCCAAATACAGGAAATGCATCGGGGGGGGCTTAATGTTTGTAGATATTTATAGCGAGCATGGATCTGAAGGTTGTGATCTATACTGGAAAAACACAGTCCTCAGTCCTCCTCCACATGTTAGGATGGAGAGGAGCCTACAGAGTGCTCCACTTATTCCACCGTACGCCGGCCAAAACACAAAAGAAAAAACTGAAAACCTAAATAAAACCTACTCATCGGGAGATGTGCGTCAGTTCAAAGCAAAGACGACTTCAGATGCTTCCGGCAGGCGAAGCGAATCCCAGAGACGGAGAGGAGAGGAAGCTGAGTCTGTTATGAGCAATCCCATCACAGCCATCTGTCACGCTGCGCCCGGACACAGCTGCAGAGTTATTAGCTCAAATCAGCCACCAAAACAAAAGAACGAGACTGGAAGAGTTTGTCGAACAGTAGACCCATTTCTGTCAGCCTTTTTTTTTTTAAATTCCCATTTGGTTCGCAAAAAAGAGGATGCTAGACTTCTTTTATTAGCGCATCATTTCGAGCAATCTGGTTATAATAAAGTCTGCTTTTTACATGTGGAGACATTGATATTAGAGCTCCAAAACACCAATAAACTGAAACCACAAGATGGTTTAATCTTAGTTTAAATTCACATCACTTAGACAAATGGAGGAATAATTCGTAATCCCTAAAATGATGGAAATCCCCCCAAAAAAAGCTTGTGTATTTTGTTTAATTTGGCCTAAGCTGGACTCATTTAAAGCTTTTGTTCTGTGCAGGTGGAAAAAACTCAGCATTATTTTTATGAAAAAGCAAATCTGAAAGTTGTTTTTTTCTCTTTTATTCTAGGCATGCAGTAGATGGTTTTCCATCTTAAAGATGGACTTTTCTGCCATTTCAAACTTAAACGTCCCTTCTGTGCCAGATCCACAGACTGCTCCAGAGGTAACAAACGGGGGGGAAGCACACTCAGATAAATAAAAGGAGTGACAGAGAAATCCACTCTTACCTCCCCGTTTGATTAATCCCCACTCTGAGAAAGTGATGTAATCAACCGATTATCTGATTTATGCTCAGTGGCTGAAAAAGAGATAAAAATCGACTCTGGGTGCGACTGTGTGAGCATTTGGGGATTCAACTGGTTTGCAGGTGCTAAAAGGCGAGGGCCTCTAATCTTTATTTGTCCTGACCGTTCATCTGGATGGACCAATTTGCTAATAAGGAGGTCTGAGGAACGCGTTGGGGAGGGAAGTGATTAAAAGAACTCTTCACGGGCCCGGGCAGAAGTCGATCTCAGGCCCGGGACTCGATCTCGATGCGTTATCGTTACGGTCGGGGAGGAAACGGATCAGAGATCAGCTCAGAGTCAGACGGCTGCCGTGGATGACAGGATCCATTTGAAAGGAGGATTAATCCACCCAGAGCTTAACACCCTAACAGTGTTAATAGTGTCTGGCCACAGCATTAGTTGGTTTAGGACTCAGGGCATTTTTGGCAGAGATGTATAAAGTACTGGAGTAGAAGTACAAGTATATATATATAAAAAAATTGACTTGAGTAAAACTGTTCTTTCATCTCCATACTTAAGTGAAAGTACGGAAGTACTCCATTTTTCATTTATATTGCAAGTAGAAGTATTTCAAAAATTGCTACTCAAGTATTGAAAGTGCAAGTATAAGTAAAAGTACAAATACGGTGTATATTAAAAAAAGGCAGTCAAAAGTTTGATAGATATTGTTTATATTACTTCAAACGTGTGAAAGGCAGAAAACAAAACACAAATGAAGCATCTTAAGTTAAGCCTGGTGGTAAAACCTTATGATGGAACAGAAGCATCAACATGAGGCATCAAGCTCTTCCACCAACAGAATAACCACGGCCTCCAGGTAAACTAACCAGGTTTGGCTCTTAACCAGATACTGGGAATTCACCCAGTAGCTCACAGACAATTTCTCAATCTTTTATAGGCTATGATTGATGGCTCAAAATCGGCCAATGAGGAGCCAGCTTCCCAAACCCTGACAGAGCTATCTACAGCTCTGGCTCTGACTCTATGACTGGGGATGATTCATTACGTTTACATATCAGTAACCAGTAACGACTCAGCCCGTGAAAGTAAAAGTATTAAATTAATCAAAAATATGTAGTCGAGTCAAAGTAAAAGTAGGGAAAAAATATATCCTCCAATAAAGTACAGATACTCCATTTTGGTACTTAGGTAGTTCTACTTTATTACTGAACATCTCTGATTTTTGGTCCAGAGGAAGAGTCTGGTGAGGTCTAAAATGGAGCGTGGCCAGTGGCTTCTGCTCCTCAAAGGCTGGAGTTAATCTTCTCCTGCTCATACGTGCATAATTAAAGAGGGCTGATTACAAAGCCTCGGGTGTGCGGGGCCCCTCGCATGAAAGAAGTTTGTAACCCGAGAGAGCCCGCGGGACACAGCTGGCCTCCCGCATCATAACTGAGACCGGGCCTCAGCTGCTCACCGCAGAAGAGAGTAATAATAATAACCCTCAGTTTACACCAACACGGAGGTGGTTTCTTCTTAAATATTGCCCAAAATGTCAGCAACAGTGTGAGCAGCTGCTGCCACCTCTCACCGTCTGGGAGTTTTTTCATCCAGAGGCAGCGGCTCGTTCTTCACGATGATCTGAGGGTTTACAGCCGGGCTGATAAAAAAAAAAAGCACTTTAAAATACGAGCAGCGCTCTGAAGGAGTCGTTTTTAACTCCCGAACCAAAACCAAACGCAGGTCCGGTTCTGAAATCTCATCAAGGATCGAGCGCCATGGTGCAGAAAATGAGGATCAGAGGGAAATTAGAGAAACCTCTACTATATTCTTATTCATTTGGGCTTTGTTTGGCCATGCCGTATTGATTTTATTTGTGTTTCCCAAACTGTATATTTATTATTGATATTTGCACAGCTTCAATTCAGCCAATTGTATACTTGTCCTGTTTTAAATACAGCCCATTAATTAACTGTTTTTGACACATATTATATTTTTATATAAGATTTTAGAACAACCAATAATGATGCTTTTATATTTCTGCAAATAAACATACAAATATTTTACTACTAGTTAAGTCTCTTTACACTTTATTTTACACTTGGTCACACATTCATTTTGGATGGATAAAGAGTAAAACAGTGGCACGGCAAGATTGCTTCAGCAGAAGAATTAGCTTAATAATTTATGTTTTTTAATCAATATTTGATTTGCAACTGATACTGTATGCAATGTAAATGAATATCAGAGGGGCATAAATCAGCCTGGTGCTGTATAGCACGCCGTCTTTGGATATCTAGTTAAATATTGTCTCAAGCTTCTGCGGATGCAGAAAAAAAAAAAGCCTTGGCAGGAACCCTGAACTCAATTTTCTCCAGCAATCTGAGTCCTGTTAGCGGATCCATATTGAAAAATATTGTTTTATGGCTGTGCAGCTGCCCTTCAAGCTGCCAGCAGCGAGAGTAATACATAAAACCGAATGAGGCGGAGAGTTTGACTAGTATATAAAGTCAGCAAATACGCTGCTCTTTATCCCACTATGCAGCTCTCCGTTTCCACACATGCCACAATCTCAAAGGTTTGATTCTGAGATTCTGGAGAACGGGCCAAACAACAACTCAATATAAAAAGCTACAGATGTTTTGTTCCCACCACCTCCTCTTAAACACCCACCTCTGCTTCCCCCCTGTGACTTATGCAACACCCCAGCCGTCTCACACCTTTTCATTCACAATCCCGAAAGAAAAAAAAAGAAAAAGAAAAAAAAAAGACTTGCAAAGAGTGAAACAAAAACTTCCCTCACTTCTTTGCTTTTCATCTTTCTGAGGATCCAACCTCCTGAGCCACAGAGCGACTATAAAAAGGTGAAAAGGCTCCCTCTGGTTTAGTCCCAGGTTTAAATGTGGAAATGCACTTTAATAGCATAAAGGATATGTAAAAAAATTAATAAATATATATGCCCTTACTAGGGCAAATGTCTATATATATATATATATATATTTATATGTATATATACACACACAGTGGGGGTAATAAGTATTTGATCCCTTGCTGATTTTGCAGGTTTGCTCACTTACAAAGAATGCTTATTTTTCCTCATCAGATGGTTATCAATTTTTATGAATTCATAGGATGTGATTTTCTGGAATTTTCTTTGGGATTCTGTCTTTCACTGTTAGAATGTACATATGATTAAAGTTATAGATTGTTGCATTCTTTGTAAGTGGGCAAACCTGCAAAATCAGCAAGGGGTCAAATACTTATTTCCCCCACTGTGTGTGTGTATATATATATAGATAGACATTTGCTCTGGTGAGGGCGAGCGTTGGGTGGAAGATGCTGGTTGGATTTAGGATTTTAAAAGGATTCTCAGTCCGATTTGCACAGATTGGTGTCTCATTTTTCTGTTGGGTTCAGAAATCCTGACAAAAGTCTGACTTCATTAGAGGGGCATAAATAGATGACTCTGCAGTCTGACATCTTCATTACCACTGCCCCCCCCCCCCCCCTTCCCCTGGTGGCACATTGTGGCAGTTAATTCATTTTTAAATAAAAAATGAAACCCCGTCTCAGTGGAGTTCTATTCTTAACTAGTCTAAATTAAGCCAAAACACACATGGATTCGAATTCATTAGATGTCGTTTGTTCTAAGAGCGATTCACCAAGGTCACATATACTGAAGTCTTTTCAGAAGAAAAAGATTGTCGAGCCGGGACACAAACACACAGCTTCTGTGGTGCTGCTTTTTTTTTATTTAAAAAAATTAATGACACTTTAAAACAGATTAAAGCATTAAAATAATTATTTCTAGTTGTTCCTGCAGTTTACTACAAAGCAACTTAGAATCATACGTTTTAAAATAAATCTAAATTTTAATAAATGGGAAAAATGACACATTTATAGTGTATATTTTAAACATCTCAGTCAGAAGATGACTGGATGAGCTAAAATAAAATTCATTTCAAAGACAAAAAAACACTAATTAATGCCTGATTGAGCTTAAAGTCAATGAAAAAGGGGCCTGGATGCATTTCACTTAGGTTGTTGTGGATTTTTTTATAAAAGTGTCTTTGTCCATCTGAAGATCTAAGGAATAGAAATTCATTAGAAAGGAGTAATCAAAAATTGAGAGGGACCAGCAGGATGTACCAAACCGCTCTGCCCCAGAATCTAGTCAGCAAGGCCTGATCCTCCTTTAGGATAATCTATCCTGGGAACGGTTAAACATGCACATGTGTCTGCTTCTGTTTAGGACAGTAAACACATATTTAAACGATTATATCAATGATGATTGCCATTTTTCTCAGAACCACTTTGTTTTGGCTCCGAGGTCAGCAGCCATCTTTTTCCAGATGAATACAGTGGGGGAAATAAGTATTTGACCCCTTGCTGATTTTGCAGGT